TGTTTGAGCAAATGGATTACATATGAAGGAAACAAATGGAATTTGGAACAGGTATCAAGCACGATTAAAAAAGAAACAAAATAGCATAAACATTAAAAAGATAAAATATCTAATAATTTTTATTCGTCTTATTTTTGCCTGAGTTAATAATTGTCTAAACTTAATAGCGAATAATATAAAGCAGTAAGAGTTATTACTTTTCTGCTCAAAGAAAAGACCATAAACCAATGGTTTATAGCATTTGTCGAGCGATTCAAAAATAGCAGTAAGCTACAGAAGTTTAAAACAATAGTTTTACCAGTGTCCTCTAAGTAGATTCAAATAATAAACTCCGAAGACCTTGGAGAATTGATCCTGCAAATGACTAATGGCGAAATGTTATCGCCGCAAATTTCTGAACAACTGTGAGTACGAGCGGCGGATGCACAGCAATACGATTGGGCCAAAAAGCAAATGAACGTAAAATTTTGGTTACTGGAGACTAAAGCTAGTTTATTGACGAAAAGTAAGGAACTGGTGTAGACAACGAAAACAGGATGCTTCATTCACGGACTGAAACATTTTGTAGACCCAGACATCCCATTGACATCAAGGACATACGTATTCTACAACAGTGAAACGCGTGTGAAGAAACATCGATGTGTAGTATTTTGTATGTAACTACTCGAGTCGGACGATTAAGCGGTAATGTCTTCATTTCCACATCTAATGCTTTTTGATCATTTTGCAGTGTGTGGGTGTAAGTGAATAGAAGATCATATCTACACTCACGCCCACCTCATATTCTTCAAATTTTTTTTGAAAAAGTGAAATTCAATTATATATTTACTGTTTCGCTATTTATACAAAGTGTGATACCAATGATATCAATCCGAAAATAGTGGCAGAAAGTAATTCATTTTTGTATACAACGACTGATGAAATTGTTTCTTTGAATGTAATGATAGTAAAAATAATGACCTATTTTTTTGCTGTTATATTTGATTATTCTTTAACTAATATCATAGTAATAAGATTTCGATAAGAACTGTTTGTTATCATATGTGACGATAAAATTAGACCGTATTGTCTTCGATATGCATTCTCCTTTTGCTTGTCTCTTTATGAATGTTGATATTCTCTTCTCATATTTACATTCCACACACCGCTACAATGAATAAGAATCTGCTGAATGAAACAAAATTTTTTTGAGGTTAACTCAATTGAAATAGACAATGATGCAATATACAAGTCACAGTTGAGTTTAGAATGCATGAATAATTTTTTAAAAATTCTCTTAGAAAAAGTTTATACTAGAAATAAAGCTTTACAAACAAGGTGAACTAATTGATTTATATAAGAGTTCACAAAGTCAAGTCACTTAACATTTGCTAAGAACAATTATGCATCAAATACCATCGATCACCATATTTAGACAACAAATTTAGCTTCCGATTTCATTAGTGCTTACAATCATTCATTATGCTCTAATATTATAATTATGAGATACACATGTTGTGTGATGTACCCTTGCTTTTAAAAATCGTCCAAACCAGTTCCCTGCTCATCTAAATAAATACTTATGAAAAAAACAAGATTTTATTTAAAAAAATTCGTCAATCATTCAGTGTTCCCGAAAAACAAATCTATGGAAAATATGCACAATAAAAAAGCAGTTTATTTATATTTATTAACTGTTGATTTTCACCCATCATTTTATGTTCCTACGTGCCAGAAATTTAAAAAAAACTATCAAAATAATAAATTTCATTGAGGGTGTGGGTGTGCGTACAGATGATTAGAATACACACATGAACACCAAACCACACCCACCCACACTATATGCTTATAAATCTTCTATAATTGAAAGAAAAAAAAGATAAAAATTAAAGTAAAGAATCGATTTTTAAAAAGCCTTTGAGCTTTTGTTATTCGATTGAGATTACTCTCTTATATGTAGTTCACTAAACAAAAAATAAATAAATAAAATTATTTTTGTGCTTGGAAAAAAATATCTTACTTCTCTCGAGATTTGTTCTTTTTTGTTGTGTACGCCGAAAGTTATTCGATATATTTTAAAAACAAACATACTGTCCTTCTCCCACACCAAAATACCCCCCCCCCTCACCGGCACTCCACACCCTCAGTTGAATAGCCGTCAGCAGTCTTCGATTTCTACATGTATGTTTTTCCGATAATATCAGAGTTTCGAATTTCACGAGAAACCTTGCCCACGTCAAGACTTCAATTAGACTAGCTTGCCTACAAAGTTTTAAAACCTTTGGACAACTTATCGCCTAGATGTGAATTTTTCAAAATATTTCGGCATAACATAATATCCATAAAAAAGCGTATCCATGATAAAAATCTAATATCTGAGAGATAAGTTGTCGAAAGGTGTAAAACTTTGTATGCAAGCTAGTCTGATTGAGGTCTTGCTGTGGGCAAACTTTCTGGTCTAAATTGAAAACTTTGATTTTATCAGAAAAGTAGAGTTCTGATAAAGAATATTATACAACAATGTCGATATCTCAGCCAAATCATAACTTGTGCCCATATCCTTTCAGGCCTTTTCTGGTGTATATGTGCCCTATTGATGAACAAATTTTGGTCTGAAAGGCTTTTCAGCACCTAGAGATGTTCCCTCGTCAGACCAGTATCCCTATGGCTAGGGATGAATCGTAAACTTAACTTGAAATTAAGTTAAGTTTTATAACTTAACACTTAATATTAAGTTTGAATTTTTCTACTTACAACTTAATTTTAATAATTAAGTGTTAATAACAAACTTAATATTAAGTTTAAGTGATTGTGTTAAGCAAATAGCATTTAATTTCAAGTTTTTCAATGCCTCTAAAGCGACGCACCGTGCTATTGTTCGGACCGTATAAAAGAGAAATCCTGATAAAACATGATCGGCTCCAAACAACATTAGGTTCTGTCCTTAGGGTATGGATGGATGTGGATGCCAGTGTTAAAGGTTTTTTTACCCACATCCACATCTTGTCTCATGTGTTTTTTTTTCTGTGGAACATAATTAACAACTGATCGTTGCTCCTTGAACGAAACCTTTAGACTGAATTATATCTCAATGTTGATCGAACAAGCCATGCTAGTGTCGATCGGCATCTTTCTTCAAAAAGATTTGATTTTCGTCGTCTACAAACAGTAGAGAGAAACAAATTGCTTTTCATTCTCTCTATGCAGGGTGGGGTGTGGGTGTGGGTGTGGGTGTCGATCTCTTGTCCTCACATGCACCCACGCTCACACCCACACCCTTTTCGTGATTAATATGTGGTTAGACAACATGTTTGAGGAGTTGAAGCGCTTAAGCGGAAGGAATCTTGAATCAGGCCGGCTTTCTATTCAGAGCTAGATCTAACAATAGTTGCAGGATAATGTTGGACGTTTGAAACTGTTGTTGTACAGCACACTAAACTGCAAGGTGGTAGCCAAAAGACATTATTTTTCTTCTTCTAGTTCCTCTTCAGTCTTTGAATAGGGTGTGGCTGTGGCTGCTGACAAAGAGAAGAATGACACCCTCACCTACCTCCACACCCGCAGCCACACCCGCACCCTTCAACACATGACTCCTCTTATCCAAGTCGTGAGGCAATATCAGGAAAAATGACGTGACTTTGGCAACAGTATTCGAAATTCTCAGAACTTATAGTCCAACCCAATATTAGAAAGCAAAGTTCGTTTTTTTCAACTATAGTTTTCTTTTTTTGTTGATATTGTTTCGTCATCAATTATTTTTATATATTTAGCAATCAAGGAAAATAGTACCAAGACGAAAAATTTGATAACTGTAATTAGACCAATATAAACAAGCCATCACTTCATTTCCTTGTTATTATTATTAAAATTTTTCAAGAATAAATATGATGGCTATTGAATATGATGAACAAAAAGAATTTCTGAATCAAAATTTTCGAAGATGATTTCAAAAAACAAATCATCGATGACTTTCGCTTATTTTCTTTATATGATGATAACAATTGTTCAAGCACATTTGTGGATACTGCAGTTGCAATTATCTTATCACAGATAATCAATTAAATTACCTATACTTGTAGTTTGTAGCGTCTGATAAAAAAGAGCCATAAACATATAATCTATACTACTCCTTGACCTAACTAACTACTTGCAGATCATGAATAAAAAAATCAGTAGTAAAACATGAAAAGAGGAATTATGCCATCAAATAGAGTATTTTCATGTGAAAAATATGTAAATTATTCTAAAGTAAGTATAAAAACAAACAAACTGGTGAATCCTCAATTTAATCATTAAATATGAAAAAGAAATCTATTGTGTGGCTTTTCTTATAACAAAATGATTCGATAAGATTAATAGTAAAGTCTAATCATATTACGTATTGAACTTTAATAGACAATCAAAATGAAAATATAATTACGAAATATAAAAGTTATACAACATTCTCACAATTTTATTATTTATTTGTATCAGAACGAACACAGGTGACATTATATATATATATATATCGATAAGTTGACAACTAAAAGCAGATAGGTCTACGACACGTATTGCATCTCTTTATTATCGATATCTCAACTACTTTTATATAAGATTAATAATTAGATGTTAATTAAAAGGAAATAATCAAGGTAGATATATGAAGGATAAAACACTTGGTAAGAGGTGACAAATAGAAAAGGAAAATATTTGTGTAAGGAACAATACATATAACCAGATAGTATAAAGGAAAAATACCAAGGGCAAGAGAACGGAAAGGAAAAATATGTATGGTGCTAGAATAGAGAGGAAAAGAGAACAAAAATACAAATGATAACAGATAGATGAATGGATGACTCTAAAAAGTTCTTAACACAAATTTTTGATTGCCATGAGATCTATTAATCTTTTTTTTTTTGTGGTAAATTTTCATTTTAACGAATAGGTATTGTTAGAGCAATTTAACCAATAGATAAAACTTCAACACTTTGTAGTAATTTTGATGGAGGATTTTTTGGTGACATGCATCCTAAATTTGGACTTTACCTTGTATTTGATGTTAAATCAGAATTTAACATAGATGCTCCATATGTATGATGATTTTCTTTTGGTTTAATTAAATGAAAATTAACAAGTAATTGATGAACTTCATTTATGAATATACTTCGAAACCTTTTTCCAACTAAACAATATAGGAAAAAATTAACTACATAGGGTAAATCCGACAATATATCTTGTATAACGCTTGAATAAAATCCAAGTTTATATGATAATATATCATTATCACTAATATTTAAGCATGAACGACCAAATAATATTGCTTTTGAATTATAAATTTGGCCAAGAACAAAAAATAGTATATAAGGAATATTAAATATAATTAATGATAATGTAACAGCTAAAAGCATACGTGTAACTTGTGTATTTGTACGTTGTTTTGTAGCTAATTCTAAGTCGGCTGTTGTAGTTGTTGAACTATCAGGACAATTTTGAAGGGCTGATGGTTTTGATAAGATTGTTTTGGAAAAACTTGAATCAG